ATGAACCCATATCTGACCTGGGAAAGGCCATATTAACTGGTACGCACCTGATGCAAATCCAAACATTCAAATAAGTTCAGATTGAATTAGAAAATCAGCTTTAATATTATTACATTGCAGTCATTACTGTATAAGGTATGTGTTTATATATACATGTATACATGGACACGATCACTTCATAGTAATTTTCATTCGGCCTTCATTATACCAGTGCTACCACAAAGTCTTTTGTAAACTTATGAATACGCAGTGTGACAACTGAAGCAATGCTTAATGCATACATTATGCATAACATGAACTAACCAATATTAGGGATGGAGACAAGGGTTCTAATTCCATCCTAGGGATCAGATGACATTTGTAAACTGCACAAGCTTTGTTCTCTCTTAGGTTCTGAGCTCATCTGAACACACAAATGTAATTACCGGCTTCTAAATCGTTGCCTCGTGTTTTGGATTTTACATATTTTAGATGAACATTTCAGGCCAATTAGTTATGATCACATCCATGACAATTTATAATAATAATAAATAATCTTTGCATTTAATATAGCGCCTTATCACGTCTCTGATACATCGCAAAGCGCTTCACAGAATATACTGTAAAGTGAATTAACTGTATATTTGTGGGCGAAACACGGCAACATTTTGTCACGCAAAGGCTAGTGGAAATCTGGAACTCTCTGCCCCAAAAGGCTGTGGATGCTGGATCCATTCAAATTTTCAAGACTGAGGTGAATAGATTTTTGTTAGGTAAGGGTATAAAGGGATATGAGGCTGTGGATGCTGGATCCATTCAAATTTTCAAGACTGAGGTGAATAGATTTTTGTTAGGTAAGGGTATAAAGGGATATGAAGCAAAGGCGGGAAATTGGAGTTGAGCTACTACAGATCGGCCACGATTCAATAGAATGACGGAAAAGGCTCGAGGGTCTGAATCACCTACTCCTGTGTTCCTATAAAACCAAGGAATTGGTCTTACAGAGTTTATAATAATCCCTGCATTTGATAGTGTTATAATTTGACTGTATATTTTGTGGGTGAAATGCAGCAGCCAACTGTGCACAGCGGTGTCCCACAAACAGTCGTGGATTGAGTGACCAATTTATTTATTTATTATTATTTTTCATATTTACATAGCTCCTTTTATGTCAGGAGGATGTCTCAAAGTGATTCACTTTGCCTTTCAACTGTCCTTATTCCCAAATTGCTTCCTACATTATTTTCCTTACTTTGAGTGCAAGCTTCTATTCTCTTTTCCTGCTTACGTGATGGCAAAACACCTTAGTATCTTGTTTTGGGAGGCCAGTGCATTTTGCAGCCAAGTTTCACAGCACAACACTCTGAAGAATGACGTTTAAGAATGGCTGCTGCTTCCTTCATTTTCTACAAATAAGTAAGACTGTAATTTGTTCCATTGGGTCAAGCAAAGTCTGAACATGAAATACATATTTCATTTTTTCCATCGGGCGGAAATGTCACAAAATAAATAGTGATTTGATCATTTGGATTGATTTCAAGTAAGGTTTCACAATTCCGAAGGGAAATTAGAGAGGAAATAGCTTTGCACAGCAGAAAACTTGAAATAACCTACAACAGCTTGACACAGTGCAAAAAAGATGTGTTCTTGTCATATCGAAGGGCACACTGCTTATTTCTAACACCCTGAAATTCTTTTTAAATGCCCCAGTGTACAATATAGCCCTCTCTCTTTATAACACTCTTAGTTATTGCATTAACATGCGATTTGGAAAACCTGCTGACCATAAAATGATCAGACGTCTTGATGCCTGCCCATTAGCACACATTAAACAGTGATACTGAAAAGATAACATTTCATTGCAAATTTCTCCTAACAGAGAGGGAAAGAGAGAGCAACAACATATTTTCATTTCAGTGTCGATCAGGTATGTCAGTAACACAGTTGATGAAACCAATGGAGTTCATTACAATGCTAAATCTAACAAGAGTTCCTTGGATGTATGAAGTGAATGGTATATGTATTCTTAAATTTAAATTTCTTAAATGTAAACCAGCTGTTACCAGGAAACACTAGCAAGGAAAGCCATCTATCTGTACCCTAGAGAGAGTCAGGTTGATAACTCAACCATTATTACCAGCCACATCACTGCAAAAGATTCCACGTGTCATACTGGCAAGTTATATAATAGTAATAATAATCCTGGCATTTGATATAGCACCTTATCACATCTTTGAGACGTCTCAAAGCACTTCACAGTAAAGTGAACTAACTGACTGTACATTTTGTGAGCGAACCTTTCAGCCACTACGCCCCAATACTCTGGAACACACTTCCTGTATTATCCCTCCATCTTGTCTCCTCCTTCCCTATCTACAGATCATGCCTGAAGACCTTCCTCTTCAACTGTGCCTACGGTCACCTCCCCCCTCTCCCCGCCTCTGCGTCATGTTCCACCACTGTCAAGCACCCTGGGACTCTACCCTTCATGAGGGGCGCTATATAAATGCAAGTTGTTGTTGCTTTCTATTCTATTTGAACTGACATATTTCATTGGGCATATTTTGTAGGGATTATTTAACTACATCCACATTTCCCCTGACCGATTCATAATATTTCAAACATCTAGTTTCTGTATACCAAAATTCCATGTTTTAATAATAATAATCCCATGTATTTGATATAACGCTTTGCACGTCTACTGGACATTTCAAAGCGCTTCACAGAATATACTGTAAAGTGAATTGACTGTATATTTGTGGGCAAAACGTGGCAGCCAATTGCACAAGGCAGCGTCCTACAAACAGTTGTGGATTGAGTGACCAAATTATTATTGTACAAGGCAGCGTCCTACAAACAGTTGTGGATTGAGTGATCAAATTATTATTGTTTAGCTTAAAGACAATGGTACACTGTGCACCACAACAATGTAATGATGTATTTTTAATTATATATATATATATATACATATGTTTGCGCCAGATTAAGCTCCACAAATTGATGGCTTAATTATTTTTAAAATCTAGGATCTGAACTCAAATCAACTTCAGACTGATGCATCAGGTCTTATTTCACAGAACATATTTTACCCACAAGATACAGATACTACTTAAACAGTATATCCTGTGAAGCACGTCAAGACACCTCAACGACGTGCTATATCCAATGCTAGAATTATTATAATTATAATCCTTCAAGCCAGGAAAAAGAATTTGGATTGCAACAGCTCAGGTTCTGGTGGGTGTGAGCTCCCTGCAGAAACCTGTCACCAGCCTGCAATCTCACTGAACCTGGCTGCAAGGCTGGCTGCTTTGAGCAATGGGAATGTCACACTGGAGCAGTAAAGGCTCAGTCAGAGGTTGCTGAAGAGAATAAAGTAATAGTTACTCTTCAGCTGGCCTTACTATACCTGTTCCATTAGTGGCTGATGCCTGCCTGAAAGTGGAACCTATTCCATTTCCCAGCCATAATTATTTTGCCTGGATAAGAAATCACCAAAACAACCGCAATACAAAAAAAATCAATATTAACATTTATTTAGCAGCAGGGGTTCTTTGATATCACCTAGTGGAGTTCTGTAGCTCAGTGGTTAGAGCACTCACCTTGCAAGCAAGAGACCTGGGTTCGATTCCCGGCAGAGCAAAACTTTGAGCAAGTTTCCTTACTCCACATGCCAGATAATAATCCCCCAAGAAAATCAATAAATGAAATAATAATTTGGTCATTCAATCCACGACAGTTTGTGGGACACTGCTGTGCGCAATTGGCTGCCACGTTCGCCCACAAATATACAGTCAATTCACTTTACAGTGTGTTCTGTGAAGCGCTTTGGGACGTCCTCCCGACGTGAAAAGCGCTATATCAAATGCAAGGATTATTATTATTATTATTATTATTATTATTATTATTATCTAGATACGTGAAAAGCATTATATCAAGTGCAAGGATTATGATTATTATTATTTATTAATACCATTTGTTTTTCTTTCAAGGTGTTTGACATTCACCTGTCAATAAGGAAATATTGGAGGAAACTAAACTGAAACTATCTCACATTGAGGAACACATATAGAAATCATATGGGCTGAGCAATAAATATATTTTATTACACGCCTTCATTATTTAATAATACGAGGCAAGTTCACAAACATTTTGAAATATAAATAATACAATTAAATCAAACTGTGATATAAAAGCATTTAAAAAACAATCTGCATCACACATAGAGTTCTACTCAACCCCAAAATTGCTTTTGTACTTTGCAAAGAAAATGTTCTCTACCACAAGCAGTTTTTTTTTCAGATTCACAAAGCCTGCAATTATGCATATAGCAGACCTTTGGGAATTGTAACTTCCTGCATCTATTTATCTACTAATTACTGAATATGCAGCATCTATCCATACTATGCAACATTTGCCTGCAAAACATTCAAATGAAGTTTATCAATTATTCATTTCTGGAGCATCGTCCTTTATCTGATTGAGTCATTAACTTAAGTCTCTGCAACCTTGTAAATTGTAATTCAAGTGGGCTTTAAGTGACACACAACTCCCCTCCCCCTGCCCCCCTCACCCCAAGGGCCAATCTTTCAAAGAAATTTGGATTTTTTCTTCTGTTGGTTACTTTGGTTTTGTTCCTCCTTCATCGAAATTCACCCAACAAAATTCAAATGAATCAGCTATTCACTATTGTTAATTGGATGTTGCAAGTATAAATTAGCTGCCAAGATTGCCTACATACAGTACCAATGTTCACTTCACTTTTAAGTTGTCCCAGTTGCAAATCTCTTCTAGATGTTTTTCTACGTGAAAGATACTACATCAACGCGCCTCGTTTTCAGCGTTCAATAACCAGACATTAACAATTTGTGTGCACTGGTTGTTAAACAAAGAATAATTTACAGGCATCAAATTTTGAATCACTCAGTTTTTGAATGTTTGCAAGTTTTATTTTCCATATGTTATGATCCACTTTCAAAACGACCCGGTAGGCCCTCTGGATGAAATGTTCGGTTACCTACCTGCAAAGGGCTTCAGCACTGCCAACTCCGTTTCACCCACTGCACCACATTTAAAACTGGCAGCAGAAAGGGCACAATGCTTCTGTCTTCTGGTTCCTACGCATTCAAGCAAACCATTGGAATCCTGATTAGAAAATGTACTTTTATGTTGCTGTGAATTGCAGTGCAGAGGATTCCTTTGTCATACTATTGATGGAAGTTAAGCAAAGAATTTCTACTTCATCCTTTAAGCTGCAGTGAACCAGTCTTGGAAAACAGCTATCTGAAGCTATTTGCTGAAATTCTTCATCACTCATCTAGTCTACAGCACAATAGAGAATCAATTGAGTCTGGATTTTATCCAGCAAAATGTTGCTCTTGTATTTGAAATGAGCAGTGATTGTTAGTCTGCGAAGGGGAGCTGAATTCATAGTATGTATTGCCATTAGTAAATGACGATGTGAATACTCCAGGAGATTTAGAAGCAATTTGGATGCCTTATACACAGGTGTTCTTTAGTATGCATAGACCATATTCAGAATGGTCTATGTCATCATGTTAATCACTCGGGAACACAAACCTTTGCATTTTAAAGATATTTTGTTTCAGTAATAGCCAAATCTGCTGCAAATGTTTCATACACAGTACATGTCAGAAATAATGCTGGCTGCTCATCAAAAATGTTAAGGAGACAATTCTGTTTTTTTTATGCCTTTTATCCCATTAGAGCGTTGATACATTTGTGTTAATATGTTGATAAAATCTATATTGGTTCATTACTTTCAGTGGAACTGATGGTAATAGAGAAGGAGTAACATCAAGGAGTTGTCTGAATCATATTTTGCCTCTTACTTTATATTCAGGCCAGGCTAGCATCTCCCAAGCAGAATCATATTGACCATGATCAAATCGCATTAACAGCCTCTGCTGAATACAATTGTCTATTCAATTTCATTCAAAACATTCCATTTTGTTTCTTAACAAACAAGACAATGATCATTCCACAACGATTTATCCTCCTTTAGCTGTAATATTTAAAATATGATAATGTCAGTACATTTTCCAACATCTCTAACTGTCCCCTGAATGTGTGTGGGCAGGGGGGTTGAATGGGGGAGTGGGGGGGAGAGAGGGAGAGAGAGAGAGAGAGCATACTGCACTACGTGGCACTAAATTGGCTTGTAGCCAACAAGGGCACATCTGGCCCAGTCTCAAGCACACACATTAGGCCAAAGCTAACATAGGACAGCAAACATCTTTTGTAATAACCAATCATTACTATTTTTAAAGAACTTATGCATTTCATATTTTAATAATTTTTTTTTGTACACGGCAAGGATGCAGATCACTCTCGGTGAAAGAGACAGGGGAATAAGACAAAACGTATAACCAGCTCCATTATTGTGACTACAGGGGATTCAGCCTCTTGCATCTAATGCACACTCTGAATCAAACAATGCATGCTCTGAATTGTTTGAAGGAATACCATTCTGGTCTTTGAAATAAAAAAGCTAAAGCACATTTGTTTCATACATGGTGCAAAGAAAATTCAGTTCTCAAAAGGTTAATTACATTCATTGCTTTACTAATCTATGCTTTCAACTGCTGATTAGCATTGAAATTGATTCTGAAGCTCCTTATGGGGGTGAAGTGACATTAATCCAGCCTTTGTTGTTGAGAATGTATAAAATCCTACTCGTGTTGCACACTGATAACATATCATTACCACAGCAATCATCATTACTGCATTCTTTATGTGGGGCACACTGATACTGTTACACATCTGGTAATTTGTCTTTTCCACGATCGTGAATCAAAACCAATGAAAATGTTTGAATTAGGGCAAAACAAAATTAATTTGTTGTTTCCTAGCAGTGGACCTGCCATTTTTGTGTCTTACGTGTCACCTCACCACGGTGCTTTATTGATTGCTGCTGTTTTAAGAATATTACAATATGTGCTCTGGACTTGTGGGCTGGCAGAACCTATACAATTTGGAAGGAAGGCATTTTGTTACAGATTGGATTGGATTCCTCGATCTCTTGGTTTCTGCCCCTTCTTAAGTATTTCTTTACGATGTTTGAATCAGGATGTTTGAAATTTCTTTATGATTATGTTTTACAGAGTTTCACTTTCCAGATCCGTCAATACTCTAGTCAGAGCTAACTAAACGTGGCTTCCAGCTCTCTGTGGGACATAGTGGTGCGCAAACTAGTTGCAGCGTTTACCTACATATGTCACTACACGTAAAAGAAATACAGGACAATTTTGACATGTTTTATCATAAAGCACTATATAAAACGCAAGGTTATTAATTATTATTATTAAATATGGAAATCATAGGAAATTACTACGACCCAGGTAAATACCATTTCTGTGCCATAGAAAATGAAGGTTCATTTTCCTGCTGTATTAAATTTACACCATCAGGCTATAGCTCTGACTGTACCTTTTATTATTAACTACCTATCACTGCCTTAACATAATTTAAAAATATGCCCATGGCTATAAAGTGCTTATCCTCGTGCCCTGCTTTTTAAAGGTATTGGTTTTCTGAATGTTGTTTTTCGTTCCCGCCAAACAGTATTTTTCAAGGTGACATTCAATTTACCTCAAATACTTAAAATCTAGATATAATAGATGGGCCATTGGGCACCTTCTTGGGATTGATATTGTCATTCAGCTTGTGTAGGGACCAGGAGAAATAAAATGGATTTTTCAGCAAAAGACTAGTTCATCATTCCAGTCGACACTTGTTATTGATCTTTCTCTATTTGTTTGCAATTTTGTTGCCACTGATTGAGCCATGGTTCTAAATCCTGAAATGACTTACATGCTGTTAGGATGGAGTTTCATTGGGCAAATAAACTTCCAATGTTTCATTTCGCATCCTGATTCATGTTGATTCATTTGGCCTCCAGATTCATTTTCGCTGTGTCAAATTAACACTTGTATTTTCATTCCTCCAAGCATCCAGTGAGTGAATTTACCTAACATCCATCATTTACTTCACTGTATAAAAGAACATAGGAATAGGCAAGATGAATAAATGCCATTTGGACCCTTAAGACTGCTACTACCAAAAGCAGGTATTCAATGACTGGAACAGGTTACCAGGAAAAAGTGGTTGTGGCCAGGACACTGGACTCATTTAAAAAGCAGATTGATGCTGTGATGGGAGGACGGTAAGGTGGGTGTTCTGGAGGGTTGAAATTAAATGAGCGAAAGAGCCTTCTTCATCCAAAGTGATCTTGTGAAACCTACCCTGCAGTAGACTTCACACGACCCATCCTACCTCCATGGAGCGAATGCTACATAGAAACTCCCCCAGTCCCCAAGGGTAAAAAAAGTAAAAAGTCCATAATCTTTATGCATCTCTCAACTTTACTATTCAACCCTGGCTGCCTTTGCTTTGCAAACAATATTTAACTTTCTCCAACCCCAAAGAAACCATTGGATCACATAGAACATTCATTCATCTCAGTCAGCATCTATTCTGATATCTTTTAATATCCTTATTTTTAAAAAAAATAAAGAATTGATCAACAAGGGATTGACTGCTTTCATCGGCTCTTCCTACCATTGTGAAGCAGAACTACAGCTGGGTTTAAACCGCCGTTAGACAGGTTAGTTTTATTCTACTGATGATGTGTTGCAGCAATAGTAATCCTGCTCAACGCGAAACATTTATGGCAGACACTTCATCTTTCCAATAATATGACACTGCTTGAATCAGATATTTCTGCTTCAGTTTCTGAGATTGTCTCATTTTAATTTGTTTCCTTGCTTCCTCACCTGGAAGAGAACGCCAGGTGAACTGTAATCTTTTTCATGGCTCCTACCCAAGTCTTGCTCTGTACATCAGCTGCAGAAGCCAGAGATTCACCTGAAAGCAGATGCAGGATGAAATATGAGGCCTGTTTTTATGTTACTATTACAAAACAAGATCAATTCACAGATGTGATGGTAGATGTACTGCAAGGATAATTAGACCCATGTTTCAACTTGCTTTCAAACTGTCTTCCAAAAGCAGGAGACAACTGTGAGGCTGTCTGTATCAAGCAGAAATGTTTCCCATTTGGGGATATTATGAGATTGGTAAAAATAACTACTTAATGATTTGTGGATAGAAGCTTTACAGAAGCTTTCATGGCACTGTATATTAGAATATTACTGAAACATTTTAAATGTTTCAAAATTATTTTCTTTTGTGTAATTTAACCTGATATATCTTATCACACTTAGAGATCTACTAAAACACTTGAAATAACAAAATTATCCATTAAAGTGCAGGATGTGAAAAAAATTCAAGGACACTGCCAAATCAGATTAATCATTTGAAACGGTTTAATAATTATAAATAAACCCTGCATTTAATGTAGTGCCTATAACATTGAAATGTCCCAAAATGCTTCACAAGTAATTGTTGTCAAGAGAAGTGACTGTGCATACATAAACAGCCAAACAACCTGCACTCAGTCCAGGTCACACAGAACAACCATGAAGTGATTTATCAATTTATTTGGAAGCTTAAGAAACTAACTCCTTTTTCCAAATAGTATGATAGGATTTTTAACGTCCGCCTGAACCAACAGCTGGGACTTAAGTTTAATGGCTCACTTGAAGGACAGCACCTCTAACAATGCACCACTCCTCCATTACTGGAGACTTTTCATGTATTGTGAGATTGAGTTTGAACCGCCAGAAATGAAAGTGCTAGAAAGGAACCAAGCAGGCAACTGACATTTTATGCACTTTAAAATGAACAAATCTTTTAATATTCATTCATATTAACATAGCTCACAGTTATTTTCCAGTGAAAAAAATATATTTCCATAAGAAAGCCATTTCAAAAGATTCTAAAGTATTTGAGTGTCACGCAGAGTCTATTACGTGAGAGTTTTGGATGATCACTTGGAGCGATTATAACCCATATATAGGGAGGATATGGTTATTTCAACCCAGCAAAAAAATGGTCTAAAAATGTATTCCTTGTATATTCAAAGTGAAAGCATTTGAATTTCACATGAATTAAGACATGTCACAAGTTTTATACCTATATTTCTGTGAATCAAACTTGTTTGTAATAATTTATTTTCTCATCGCTGATGTATATTGTATCTCTGCATAGATTGTCTTAGGCATCAGTGTAAATTTACCTCATTGATTTTTAAAATTATTATCTCGTTTCTTAAAATAAAGTGACACTTACTGACCTTGCAGCTGAAATCACAAAATAAAATTTAAGACATCTGTATCGTTTTTTGGTTTAAACATTTTGATATATTGAAACAAATTGCAGAGATCTCTCTGATTGAGTTAAATACATTTGTGTTAAATGTTTGTTATCAACATTTGTTAACAGTATATGTATTCAAGATAACAAAAGAAAGCAAGGAATGAGATTTGCTCCATCAAACCATTCCTTCATATATAGTACAAAATGCACTTTTTTATGGAGTCTCATCTCCTAAGGAATGGTGCTGCTCTGATTGTCTTCTTTTCAAAAATATAAATGATGCATGAGGTCTCACTACATAACTGATCTTACAAACTATATGCCTTCCTCCATTTTGCATTCACCCACAAAATACATACGTCCACATCACTTTACAATATATCCTGTAAAGAGCTTTGAGATGTCTCACGAATGTGATAAGGCATTATTATAAAAATACAATATAAAATACAAAATTACATTTGTATAATGCCATTCATGCTGGGAGGACATCACAAGTCACTGGGTTTGTGCTTTGCAAGGATTTTATTATTATAAACACCATATTTATATTTAGTTATCTCTATAGAGATACTACAAACAACTGAGGAAAAGTTATGGCACATCAAGAAGAAATACCTCCAGAGTGCACAGAATAACCCATCAGTGATCCATCTCTATACTGATAGAGCAGGGATAAAACCTACCAAGATACTCCCATGAAGTGCACTGTCAGTTGGTCTGTAGTGAGGTGTGCACCCTTGCCAGGTCCAGCCTCAAACTGAACCCACGCTCGACTCTTTCTGGTCCAGGAAACTAAACAGTTCAGATCCTTCCAGAAAGGAACAAGAAGTCATAAAGGATCTGAAACGGGTTAGAAACCCTGGGCCAAACGCAGCACGTTCCCATTGGTAGTAATAATTACTTCTGCATTTTTTTCAAAGGTGAACAGTATCACAACCCTGATTGCTTTAGCAGACAATCTTTTGCACATCTGCAAGACTTGGAGGGGAGGTGAAACAGCTTCTAATTTAAAGTCTTGTTTGCGTCACTTCATTTTATGTCTGTGCTCACAGTGCAAGCTGAACAGCTTGTTAGCTCCGGGCTATTAATTTTTCTCAGCATTTAATAAACTTGATCCAGATCAAAATATTGAAAGGTATTCCAGTTAATTTGAAATGTTAGCTGGATGACCATGTCAAGTGGTAGCTCACTGGGAATGGAGTGTCTGAACGCATACCAAATCTGAGAAAGACATTAAGCACCTTAATGCAACAACTTCACTTCCATTTCACAAGTGTGTCGATCCATAAACTGTCAGCACCAATATCCTAGCTATTCAGGCATCGGGCTCAAAATGCTTTGGGTGTTTTTTTTTGGTATTTTATGGTGATATTTATACAATTTATAATATTGTGGTTTACGAAAGGCCTCAAAAGATGTTGGATTTGCAGTATCATTGATAATTTTGAAACACTGCAGTGTAATTTTTGTCTGAGAAACATCAGAGCTCTGTGTAAGAAGCCAGTTGTCAAATGAAGGAGTTAAAAAGATTGGTACATTGCTGGTACTATAGTCATTGGTGGTATGTGCAAACACAGCTTAGGATATTATACTTGAGACAGATTAGAAGATGAATCACCTGCCCTAGTTGTCTGAGAGGGCAAGTGGTAATCATACAGCTAAAATCCATATAACCACATGACTAAGAAAGAATTTTATGCCTGAAAATGTTAGCAATACTATTCTGATTTTGCTGTTGTGGAAATAAAATGTTCAAAATAATTTACAAAATCGCTTTTTAATGTGCTAATCGAATGGAATTCAGTTGTTGATATCAATCTTCTCCAAAATAAATTTGTATTTAATTACAGTGAAAGGATATGGAAACTGTCCAAGTTGAAACAGTGCAGGGACTTGGTGGAATAAAAGGGCCTGTAAAATCTTAATGACTATGTACAATGCTGTGAAATGTATGTTTTTTTTTGTGTGTGCTTTCAATTTGAGAGGAATTTTGAATTCTGTATACAGATGTTTTAGTAAGGATTAAATCGTCTTGAAACAAAATAGTGTGATGCATTGTTTGAGGCACTGTCCTTTGGATAAAATATTAAACCAACATCCCATCTGTCTGTCCAGGTGGATGTTAAGGATCCCATGGCACTATTGGAATATAAAAGAGAGTTTCTCCTGGCCAACAATCCCCCCAAATAAACAAAATGCTCATTCACTCCTGGCTGTTTATGGGACATAGTTGTGCCCAAATTCATTGCCATGTTCATGCAAAAAATACATAAAGTCACATCACTTTAAATTCTGTGAAGTGCTTTGAGACATCTCAACAACATGCCATGCCAAGGCATTATTATCAAATGCAAGGATGCTTAACCTAGTACAGTAAGTGCTTAGGTTTAACTACATCCATCCTTGCATTGCTTAGTTTCCTAAATAAAATGGCAGTTTCCTTGATCTAACTGTCATACAACACTTTGAAATTTGTTGAGCTATGGGAAGGTAAAGAGCTAGGAAATGCCTTATAGTAAAAATTGTTTAAAGTGTAAAGATCGCATATCAGGCAAACACTGCAACCAATTTAAAGCATTTTGAGATGTTTTGGTGAAGTGATCAAGTGCTACATTAAATGGTCAGATTAATATAACATAGGAATGCACTGGACCAGAAAATGGCTTTTGCAATCTGTCTGCCTGTCCCAAAATAAACGGAAAATTATATACTACTTCACCAAAATACAGATCCAAGTATGACATTTGTTGGTATGGCAATTATGCCCATATCAGGTTTCAACTCTACTTGATTCGAACTCATATGTTCTGACTGAGAATATAGATAGGTTGTAAGGCCTAGCATTTTTGTTTGCACACATACATAATGTTTAACATCATCTGTCTGTCTCTCTCCCTTGGGTGAGACAAAATAGCTACACAGGAATATCAAGGCTGTGTCCACTAATTATACAGCATAGTTTTTAATGTGCTATGTTCCTCAGTCTGCCAGCAAAGGAGCAGATTTTCATTAAATGATGCATTATACAACAGTCCATGCATTAAGCAGAAAGTCTAATGATGATTAATAGGGAAGTGTGCTTCAACAAGCAATTACTCTTCAGCAAAAGCTTTTTCTAGGCCCGTGATTAGACAGTTGTACTGAATGTATTTCATTTGTACCACAAAGCATTTTGTGAGTGCTTTACTTTGTGGGAACATTTTTCAGCCTTGAAATCCGTGTTTGGCTTTCAGCTTTGTCAAAACTGCAGTCTGCAGGGACGCAGAAAGCCAATTGAGCAGCTGGACTTGTTTAAAAGCCAAGACCAAATGTTTTACTCTATGACCATAAAATAGACATTGTAGTCAATGATGATAATAATAATAGTGTCTTTTTACATCTCAATCTCAAAAAGCTGTTCTCAGCATTTTACTATCAAGTGCAATGACTCTATATTTTGTAGATAAAGAATTTGTATGATTTAACCTTTCGTATGTCTTCTCATTCTGATGTAGCTATGATTATCGATGCATCAGGCATTTATAATGATTACAGAAAGTGCCATGGAATCTCTAAGATTCACTTGAACAGGCAGATGGGACCGTGTTTTAATGTCATAGCCAAAGGGCAGCATTCCTGGCGAAACATCGCTCCCCCATCACTCC